TTAACCGCTGAGCCATCTCTCCAGCCCCTATGTTTTATGTTTTATTCTTATTTTTTTGAGAGAGGGTTTTGTTTTGTAGCCCAGACTGGTCTAGAACTATGTACCTCAGGCTGGCCTTGAATTCCTGGTCCTCTTAACTCCACCATCCAAATGCTGGGATAACAGGAGTTCCAGCAGATATTTAAAGGATGACTATTGAGGTTTGAATGAGCAATGTCCCCCTTAGGCTCATGTACTTGAACGCTTGGTCCCCCAGTTGGTGGTGCTATTTGGGAAAGTTATACAGCTTTTAGGACATAGAGGCTTGCTGGAGAAGTATTTCACTGGGGGTGGGCTTGGAGAGTTTATAGCCTTACCTTGCTTCCAGTTTGCTGGCTCTGCTTCCTGTGTGGTGTTGAGATGCGGTCCCTTAGCTTCCTGTTCCCAGTGTTGGCTGCCATGTCTTCCCACCATCACGACTTCGCCCCCTAGAACCATTTTGATAAACTTTTCTATAAGTTGCTTTTGATCATGATGTTTTATCACAGCAACAGAAAATTCCCTCCCTCCCTCTCTCTTTCCCTCCTTTTCTCCTTCCCTCCTTCTCCTTCCTTCCAGGGTCTCAGGTAGCCTAGGCTGTCCTTGAACTCTGTAGGTAAGAATGACCTTTAGTTTCTAATCCTTCTGCCTCCACCTCACAGAGTGCTGGAATTATAGAGTGCAGCGTGATGCCTGGTTCATGTGGTGCTGGGGCTTGAAATCAGGGTCTTGTATGTGCTAGGCAAGCACTGTACCAACTGAGCTACATCTCCAACCCTTAAAGGTGACTTTCTTAGAGGGCGAGCAGAGTCTTTTACAGGTACAGTCTCATGTAATATCTGTGAGGTAGGCATTCAGATTCCTACTTTGTGGATGGAGAAATAGATTTTCCTTTTGTTTATTCATTGTACGTGTGTGTGCACAGATGTATGCCACAGATGTCTTGTGGATATCTGTGGACAATTTATTAGTCTGGCTTAAGGCAGCCCCAAACTCAGTGAGGGTATGGAAGCAGAACTCACCAGGGGCTGCAGAATTCTCTGGCCTTTGAGAGGGCCTATGCTTTATGCTGGGCGCTGATTTGTGTAGTTAGGGACATTACCCCACAATGTTGACATTTTCCCTCTCCTTCCTGTTTAACAACAGTCTTCCTTAGTTTCTGGCCTCCACTAGCTTTTCTCTTCCCTGAAATTTGAGTAATCCCAAGTTGCGGTATAAGACAATGGCTTCTCCTTCCCTTTCTTTTTTAAAAAGTATTTTATTTTTATTTTATGTGTATGAATGTATTACCTGCATATGTGTAAGTGCACCCATGTTGTGCAATGCCCGAGGAGGTCAGAAGAAGGCATCAGATCCCCTGGAACTGGAATTACAAATTGGAGTTACTGGCTGCCACGTGGGTGCTGGGAATTGAACCTGGGTCCTCTGCAAGAGCAGTCAGTGCTTTTAACTGCTGAGCATCTCTCCAGCCCCTCCCTTTCTTTTATGATTCTTTCGAGCAATTGTTCCCTCTCATAACTGAGTAGTACATTATAAATCTCCAAGAGTGCTTAGTGCCTCCAACTTGTACCTTTTCAAAGCCTAAGTACAAATCAGTGGCCTTGTACAAACCATTTAACAACAGTAACTGAAGAAGCAATCCAACCGGCAGGACTGTACCAACACATCAGTGCAGAAACTGTGGAGATTGGTTTCACATGCCTGTTCTTCTGGCCCAAATGGTTGTTTTCCCACCTCCTTTTTAAAAAAAATTTTTTTAATATAACACTTTGAGAATTTCATGCATATATACAATGTAGCTTGGTTATATTCACCCCCTCCTAACTCCTCCTAAAGCCCCACCCTGACTCATAAAGCGGGGAATGTAGCTCAATTTGTAGAGTGCTTGTCTAGCATGGAGGAAACTCGAGGCTCCATCCCCAGCACCATATAGACCAGGCATGGAGGCATATACCTGTAATCCCACCACTTGTGAGGTGGAGGCAGGAGGATCAGAAGTTCAAAGCCAGCTTTTTTTTTTTAACTTTTACAAAAACTTTATTGAGAATTTCATACATGTATATAAAGTGTTTTGATCAAATCCATGCCACTCCCTCCCCTCCAACATTCCCCCCTCTGAAGAGGTAACCCTAAAATCTCAAAGCCAGCTTGTAATAAAGGAGACCCTGCCTATAAATAGATAGATAAAATGGAAGGTTCTAGAGCAGATTTGAAAAGGTATGCAAGAAATGTTAATAGCTCTTCCTATGGAGGAGAGAATTCTATGTTCAGGCAGGTCTATGAAATGGACTTCTTTACTCTGGGACATCTCAGAAAGGTTCCTGTGCCCATTTTATTTGATGACTGTCCAAGTGTGAAGTAGCAGCAATGTCTTTCAAGACACATTTGGAAATGTCTCACCAGATGTCCTCTGAGGTGTTTATTTGAGCAATATCTCTAAGCGCAGATCAATTTCCTGTGACACGTAGTTTATCTCCCAGAGTTTCTTTTTTCTCCCTAAGTTACCCTTTTGATTCTCTGGTGCATGGACTAAAATCTCACCCACCCCGGGTACACTCGCAAAACAACCCATCTCATTAATACTTGGGACAGCAAAGGCCGGAAGGAGCATTTGGGAAACAGAGAAACAGTCCATGGTGCAACACGGATGGAACTCTTTAGGGAAAAAGAATTTGATAAATAGATACGAGGAACAATAGCACTAAGGGCAGATTTCTGCGGGGGAAAAAAAGAACCTCATGTATTTGACATTTTGATGGCTAAATTGCACAGTCTTTCCCATCACAGGACTGTTCTCCTCAGCCAAGACTGTTAGGGCTCAGAGAAACAGAGCTGAGTGGCGAAAGCCTGTGTTCAATATCTGTCATTCTGAAGATTGCTAATGTTCAAGTGCATTGTCTGCACACTATTTATTGCCTTATCAGTGTTTCAGCTGGGAATGAATCAACTATTTGTGGACAGGCAGGCTTAAGTTAGGGTAAGCTGATGGTGGTTACTGTCTGGGGTGTTGTCACAGTTAAAAGACTCTTGATTTGTAAGAGCTAGTTGAGGATTTAATTAGACAAAAACATCCAGGAATAATGCTGACATTATTATTTCAAAAGGAGAAAGAGCTTACTTGGCCTTCCTGAAATCACTGTCTGGGTGCGATTTTTGGATTGAAACTCTTTGAAGCTGAGTTCTTTACCTCTTGATTCCTTTACGAACAAGACACAAGCGGAGAGAAAGCAAAATTGGAGGTTTCTCTGTACAACTCTTCTAATCATTATCAATAGTGGGAATCATGCTTTGTTATTGTTCTTTTAAAAATATTTTTATGTATTTATTTTATTTTATGTGTTTGATTGTATTGCCTGCATGTGTGTAAGTGCACCCATGTCCTGCAATGCCGAGGAAGTCAGAAAAAGGACGTTGGATTCCCCTGGAACTGGAGTTATGAATGGTTGTTAGCTTCCACGTGGGTGCTGGAAATTGAACCCGGGTCCTCTGCAAGAGCAGCCAGTGGTCTTAACTGCTGAGCCATCTCTCTAGCCCCTTGTTATTGTTCTTGAGGGCAGATGACATACTGAAATTTTTTTATGTGTATGCATGTATTGCCTGCATGTAGGTAAGTGCACCCATATCATACAATGCTGGCGGAGGTCAGAAGAGGCTGTCAGATCCCCTGGGACTGGAGTTACAGACAGTTGTTAGCTTCCATGTGGGTGCTGGGATTCGAACCCAGGTCTTCTGCAAGAACAACCAGTGTTCTTAACCGCTGTGCCATCTCTCTAGCCCTGACATACTGAAATATTTAAGTTGTGTGAAATATGTTCAGCTTTTTAACAGATGGGGGAAGATTTTTAAATCTTCCATTAGGAATTTTTCTTTCAAAGCTCCCAAATTATTTAGGTGTTTGCATTTTGCACCATATATAGATGATGATATTTTCCTAGATTTTAATTCTTAATGATTGGTCATCATTTCAGTGCATGTCCTACAAACATTTGAACAAAGTGCTGAATTAACTTGCTTAGGCCTTGTAATTCATGCAACACATTACATAATTAGTATAACATCAAGTTGAAAATACACATATCTTTGGATATGTTATAAATTCACTGAAAATAGCCAAACTATTTGCACAGTAAGAGTCCAGGTCTGCAATGATATTAGGAATTGCTAATTTGTCCGAATTTACTTAGTAGATAAAAGGAAAACGTTAATATATTAGAATGCAAAACTGTCGCTTCTCAACAATGCAAAATCTTGCGCTAGACGGGACAGGCCACACAGTCAAAATCAACGTCTTCACTGCAACTGCTTTCTAATCATTAAACACGGGTTTTGTTTTAAATGTAAGCTGTCTGTCGGTTTGGGAAAAAATGGACCAGGCTCTCCCTCCACCCCCACCTTGTTATTCTTTTGGGGATCCAGGCCACTCCAGATGGTGTTAGTGTTGGACATAGCTTTAGAGAAACTTCAACAGACGAAGGCAGTGATGTCAGGATTCTGCTGTGCGTCGCTCCTTCCCCCCTGCAGTTCCCAGGGTAGGAAGGTGCTGAGATGGAAGCGGAGGGACGCCTGCCCACCTGCCACCACCTGTTGCCCTGGGTTATAAATTCTGCTCCCTCGAAGCTTCACTTAGCGCTCTCCAACAGCAGCTGCGTGCGGTGAGAGCGCTCCTGCCATAGCTCAGCTTCCGCCAAGACTTCATCTTCCTGGAAAGCGAGCAGTCTCAGGCTTCCCCTGACTGGCGGTAGCCACACCAAACTCTGCCGCAAGGTTTCCTTCTTTCAGCTTCACGTGGGTTAGAATGACTTTTGCCTGAGCATTTCCATCTCCCCTACATCAGGGGAAGAGCCTGGCTATCCAGCAGGACAGAAGTCCCCAGTGTGCACTGACTGTACGTGGCCTGCTGTGCCCGCGACCTATTTGCAAGGAGAAGCCGCTGGGTACCCGGGTCAGGAGCATCCTGAGCTCCGCCCTGCTGCAGGTCGGGGATGAAGTCTTCTTGTAAACCCAGCGGTCCTCCTCAGGCCGGAGCTCGCGCCTCGCCTCCGTGCGCAGGCGCAGCCGAGAGCGCGGGGCCCGGGCGGCTGGAGAGCGCGGCGCGCAGGCGCCTGGCGGCCAATGCCCGAGAGCGGCGGCGAATGCAGGGGCTGAACACCGCCTTCGACCGGCTGCGCAGGGTGGTGCCGCAGTGGGGCCAGGACAAGAAGCTGTCCAAGTACGAGACGCTGCAGATGGCGCTCAGCTACATCGTGGCCCTGACGCGCATCCTGGCGGAGGCCGAGCGCTTCGCCTCCCAGCCGGACTGGGTCGGGCTACACTGCGAGCACCTGGGCCCCGAGCACCGCTACCTGCCGTTCCCCGGCGCCAAGCTCCCAGCCCAGGCCGAGCCCTACAGCCAGAGGCTTTTCGGCTTCCAGCCGGAGCCCTTCCCCATGGCCAGCTAGGGGGCCCTCATGGCCAGCCAGGGCTCCCCAATTCCAGCTAGGGGCTCCCCATGGCCATCCAGGGCTCCCCAATTCCAGCTAGGGGCTCCCCGTGGCAAGCTAGAGACTCCCCATGGCCAGCTAGGGGCTCCTCATGGCCAGCCGGGGCTCCCCAATTCCAGCTAGGGGCTCCCCGTGGCAAGCTAGAGACTCCCCATGGCCAGCTAGGGGCTCCCCATGGCCCGCTAGGGCTGGCCATGGCCAGCCTCCCACCGCAGGTGCTGAGTGGAGGATCTCAACTTTCAGATTGATTTCCTTCGCATCCTCAGACCTCATTGCGTTGCCCCCCCTTCTGTGTTTTGTAGATTCCGTTAATGAATCTGGTGAATGACTTTTTGATTGCTGTAAAATTGATGCCGCACCCTCTTTATGAAGTACTTTGAGGTTTAGCTTAAGAAATGGGACTGGAGATGTCGTTCACTTGGTAGAGTGCTTGCCTAGCATGCACCAAGCCCCTGGGTTCGGTCCCCAGCACGCGTAAACTGAGTATAGCGGTGCACACTTGTAGTTCTAGCTTTTGGGAGGGGGAGGAAATAAGAGTCCAGGGTCATCCTAGGCTATGTCGAGTGCGATATGGGAGACCCTGTCTTGAAATAAAACAAAAACAAAACCAGAAAAGAGGAAGGAGTGGATTAGGATTAGGCTGTTCCGAAGTGTCAGTCCTCAGAGAAATAATTACCTTCCTAAACTTTGTAAGTTTGTTTTGATCAGCTGAAGTTAACATGTTACTTGTGTATGCTCAAAACAGCTCCCTTCCTGTCCTGTAAATGCATTTATGCTTGTGTATTGTGTGTGCATGTCTTGGGTAGAGTCAGATTTTTTTGAGGGGTGGGTGGGTGTCTGGCAGAGTACATGGGCATTAGTGCTCTGTATTTTTTTAAACTGTGTACACATTAAAATATAGATTTTTGTAAAATACAAATGAGTTTGTTTTCACGCTAAGTATTTACTAGTTTCCTGGTGATAAGTGCTATTTGTGGGTGATATTTACTGCTTTTCTGGCTCTCAAAGTGGACTGTTTCTTTTAAGATTTATTTTATGTTTAATTATGTGTTCTGTGTATGTGTGTGTGTGTGTGTGTATGTGTGTGTGTGTGCTCATGTACAAATAAGATACTAGAAGAGGGTGTCAGATATCTAGGGCTAGAATTATATAGGTAGTTGGGAGCCACCAGGTGTTGGTCCACCGAGGCAGTAAGATCACCACGGTGTCAAGGCCAGTCTGAGCTTCATAGTGAGTTCAGGTACAGGACAGCCTGGGCCTGTCTCAAAAATAAATAAATGTCCCCCTGAAAGTGCTGCTCACATTTCTGTATAAACTTATAGTTAGTTGAAACAGACAAGTTGGTGGGAATACAAGTAATTTGAAAAATGCCGTTTTCAACCTGAAAATATAGTGGTTTTGATGGCTATTTAAAAGATATTAAACAGGGCTGGAGAGATGGCTCAGTGGTGAAGAACACTGGTTGTTCTTGCAGAAGACCCAGGTTCAAATCCCAGTATCCACATGGCAGCTAACAACTGTCTGTAACTCCAGTTCCAGGGGATCTGACAGCCTCTTCTGTCCTCCACGGGCATTGCACGACATGGGTGCACTTACACTTACATGGGTGCAGGCAATACATGCATACACATAAAAGAAAAGATATTAAACTAGAGGCTGGAGAGATGTCTCAGTGGTTAAGAGTACTGACTGCTCTTGCAGAGGACACAGGTTCAATTCCCAGTAGCACATGGCAGCTAACAACTGTTTGTAATTCCAATTCTAGGGGATCCGATGCCCTCCTCTGACCTCTGAGGGCACTGCATGACATGGGTGCACTTACATGCATGCAGGCAATACACTCGTAAATATAATAAAAACAAAATATTTAAATAAAAGATATTAAACTAAATGACGTAGCCTTTAGATAGCAAGATATATAGTTCTTCAATTTTAGTTTCTTTACTAAGCTAGTTACTAAATTTACAAGTACCCAAATATATTTATTCCTACATATATACAGGAATATATATATCACATAATTATACATATTTGCACAGACTGATACAAACATGTAAGTATATATGGGGCTGGCCAGGCGTGGTGGTGCATGCTTTTAATCCCAACACTTGGGAGGCAGAGACAGGCAGATCTCTGTGAGTTCAAGGCTAGCCTGGTCTGCATAGTAAGTTCTAGGCCAGCTGGGGCTACAGGGAGACCCTGTCTCAAAAAGACCAAGAAAAAAATATATATATATACGGTGTTGGAGAGATGGCTCAGCAGTTGAGAGCACTGGCTTTTCGTGCAGAAGACCCAGGTTTGAGTCCCAGCACCCATATGGCAGCTAACAACTATCAGTAACTCCAGTTTCAGGGGATCCGATGCCCTCTCCTGATATCTGTGGGCACTGCGTGACATGGGTGTACTTACAAACATGAAGGCATAACACTCATACACATAAAAATAAATAAAATGAAAAAATATACCTATTTATACAACAATGGAAAGATAAATGTTGCTTGTGGAAGTGATTTCCTTTTAATTAGTACAAGTTGAGCAATGAAGCCTTCACTACCAACACGGCTAATCAAATCTGGAGGCAAAACAATACCCACGGAATTGACTTAATTTCTTTTACAAATTTTCTTAACTGCTACATGAATAAACCAGTAACCCTTCATGTAGAGTGACTTGTGGTCAACAACATTAATGAATTCGGGGAATGGCTTCTCATAATTAAGAAGAACAGGATTGTTACCTGTACATTTGGAATTTTTCACAAGCAAAGAACAACCCCCCACCAATAGCCTCCAAATCCTTTTATTACGAATTCCAAAACTTAGCTACAGACCTAGCCTAGTGCTTTAAATATTTATAGAATGTCTCCATCAAAATTGTTATTTTCTTGGTTTTGTTGGGACTGGGCTCAGTTGGTAGAGTGCTTGCCTAATATGGCCCTGGGTTCTGTCTCCAGTGTGGTGTGAAATGCCTATAATTCTAGTACTCAGGAGGTGGCAAGATGGTCAGAAGTTCGAGGTCATCCTTGTCTACACATGGAGTCTGAGCCCAACTTGGGCTACATGAGCCCTTGTCCTTAAAAAAAAAATCTATTTGGTTTGTAATATGGGAAAAATGTCTGTCTCAAACTAAAAAAGTCCAAAGTCTGGTTATTCAGGCCTCCATTGGAAGACTGATGGTGAGTTTCCCTTCCCACCTGCTGTCTGTTAATAAGATACAACGACGGCACAGGACTTTGCTGCTTTACTGCAAATGAAAGAGCAAAATGCTTAATCTCTTGACTCCACAACTCTTAGAAGACATTATAGCCAAAAACAAGGAGGCTGACTCCTGGAGCTCACTTCTGGCCTCTGCATGTACACCCACAAGAACATACACCCACCAGCACATATATGTGTGAACACACACACACACAAACACACACACACTAGATGGTGGGTGTGGTGGTATGCAGGTCTACAGAGTGAGTTCCAGGTTAGCCAGGGCTACATACTGAGATCCTGTCTCAATAAATAAATAAATAAATAAGTAAATAAATAAATAAATAAATAAGTAAATAAATAAGTAGGCTGGAGAGATGGTTCAGCAGTTAAGAGCATTGGCTGTTCTTGCAGGGGACCTGGGTTCGATTCCCAGTACCCATATGGTGGCTAATAACCATCCATAACTCCAGTTCTGGGAGAATCTGTTGCCTTCTGACCTCCTTGGGCATTGCATGACATGGGTGCACCTTCATGCATGTAGGCAGTACACTCACACACATAAAACAGAAATAATAAAATTTAAAAATTTAAATAAGCTGGGCGTGGTGGCACACACCTTTAATCCCAGCACTCAGTAGGCAGAGGCAGGTGGATCTCTGTGAATTCAAGGTCAGCCTGGTCTACATATTGAGTTCCAGGTCAGCTGGGGCTACAGGGAGGCCCTGTCTCAAAAAAGACCAAAAAAATTTTTATAAATAAATAAAATAAATTTCAGTAGTCCCAAATGTACTTTGGAAAAGAAATTAACTTAAGCCTCTCAAGATGGAAGCATGCCATATTTGTGAGCCATTTGGGATCTGGTGTGTTTTCCAGAGCAAAAACTTTATGCAAGGAGAGAAAGGAAAGGATTATTTATTTATGTGCATATGTACCTTGGCATGTGTGTGGAGGTCAAAGGACAACTTGTGGGAGTAAGTTCTCTCCTTCCACAATGTGGGTCCTGGGGATCAAACTCAGCTCCTCAGGCCTGGCTGAAAGAGGCCTCATGTGGTCCTGATAGCCATGGACCATGGGAGCTCACAACTGAAGTGAGTGTGTATTTGTGTGTGATGTGTGCATGTGTTGGCAGGAACACGTGTCATATGCCAACCTTCACATAATCAGCAAGGTTTGTCTTTGGACTTGATGCAGCTGAGAATGCAAAACAGACCAAAAGATGTACTCGGGTTTGAGGGTCTGCGTCCAGCTGCTGTCCCAAAGTCAGTTCTCCTCAACAGAGGGCCACCACGTCAGCCCAGGACATCTCTGCCAGGGTTTGGAAGAGTGTGCGGAGCTGCCTTGAGCGTGCTAAAGCAAGAAATGCAGACTCCCTGGCTGTTTTCTCCACACTGTGGGGTCAGGATTGCCACAGCAGGAGTCAGCGTTCTAGGCTCTTCTCCCCAGACCGAAAGGAATTTCTTGGACTCTGGCTGCAGACAGCAGATAGAACATTTTTATTATTATTATTATTATCAATTTTAAAATCCTTTTCTGAAAAAAGATTCATTTTTATTTTACATGTATGAATGTTTTAAAAATATTTTATTTTTGGGGCACTACTATCCTCAGGCCTCTTGGGGTAAGTCTATAGCGCAGCTCTCTGCGCTGGGACTCCATAAGCCACATTCGCCCTTCCATCCCCCCCCCCCCCGCCGTTCTATACTCCTAGTTTGGGCCCTGCACCATTCCTAGGCTTGGGGCCCCAGACACCTGGGGAACCAATACTGCTTCCTAAACCTTCTCACCCAGACCAACTCAGTGCCTTTCTTGGGCACCAGGAGCACAGCTTCTGGTCCTGGCCCCGCCCTCACCTCTCTCTGCTTCCCTGGGCCTGCACCACTGGCTAACTCTCCTA